TGCCACGTAGGTTGTCGATCGCTCCCACAAGCCGTGAAGGCCTGAGACGAAGCGCGCCCGCCCGTTAGGCTACGGGTAGCCCAAGACAAACCGACTGCCTGCTGCTGCCATTGGTCGTCCACATCAACAGGAGAGCTGTCGAAATCTTCCCCATGATAATCATGATCACAACCAGCCTCCGACCGATATTGAGCGGCTCGCGCTAACCCCGCGTTGAAGCGGTCAACGTCCGCGACACCAACGCTCCGCTTGCTGCCGTTCTCAGCAGCTGCCTCGCCTTGTACGGGCGGCAGCAGCCTCGCCCCCGTCTGGGCTCCGGAAAGCAGGCCGACGCGCTGGCTCCTTCCCGTTGCGCAATTTTCGGCCGTGGCCGTCTCCAGCATGTCATCTGCCATGCTATGCGTGCTCGCCGTATGTGATCGTGTGTGTCTCGACAGTCGGAGAGAGAGCAACTAGCGCTGTGTGGTTGCCAGCCAAGTAGGTGGAGCGTTGCCGAAGCCTTCCATGCGTTGAGACTCCAAAACAGATTTTCTGGACACGGACAAAAAAAGTCCTTGGGGACTTTCGCCGCGATACAGATTTTTCGGTAATTCAAAATCGCCGTTCACCGGCTTCCGGGCCTCTTGGCCAATCAGAGCCCAATTTTGATTTTTGATTTCCTGGAAACAGATTTTTCCGATTCCGATAAGACAGGCTCTAACGCACGACAGACAGGGGAGAAAGAGAGTGCTCCACGCAGGCTGACGCAGCATGGGGGCACCGCTGACTCATCGAAAGTCTACCACAAAAGGTACCATCGTATATCCCTTCATCTACGAAACACAGAACCGTCCTCAGATCTTTCTCACATATGCACGCACACGAACACCCTACCTGGTTCCTTACTTTAGCAGTTAACCATCACCGTGTGTCGCTCAACGTGCTCGGGTATCACCGAAAATCGCAACAGAAAAAATGCCTTGCAAGGCAAGCCCCCGCCACCGAGCCAAACATCCTCGCAATGATTCTACGACTACCAAATAAAACATCCTCGTTGTCATCTCAACTAGACTACTCCGATTCCCTAGAAACGAAGGCCGCATGCAGTGCTAACGTTGGCGTCTTACCTACTCCAATTCCCCAACATAGCGACACACCAAGCGGACCAAACTACATCGATGGTTCGGATAATCATCTCAACATTTTCAGGGGAAGACAACCATAAAATACCAACGCTGGCTGAAATACAGCAACAGGCATGAAGAAACACAATCATTCGACTTATTGCGTGTCAGGGGGCCCGGCAATTTGGATTGAGCGTTGGAACGACCTCTCACGCGACAAACAGAACATCAGATCAATACCTAAAACGTCACTGCGCATAAAATGCCACTGTGCTCCCCCGTGACATCTAGCCTTTGAGTTTCGCTGTTGCGAATGTCCTAAGCGACCAATTCAAACAGCAAGGGAAAACATTGACACGATACAAACACGGTAGCGACTATTGAGGGGAGGTCGTCAGAGACATGCACGTTCACTAACATCGGTTTAACGCAACATTGGATTCCCTCCCATATTTTACGACTACACACAAAAAACTCAAAGCTGCTACGAGTATTCTCTGCTAACGGTACCAACGGCAAATTGCCGGTGTCGGCAGGGGTCTTGACTCCGTTGCCGAGCGGGCTCCGGCGCCTCCAACCCACCAGCGAAGACCCCTGCTGCTGCTCGTCACCCTGGTAAGCGCGCCGACTTCAAAAACAAATGCCTACGCTGCCTCCCCTACATCTGGGAGCGCGCCGGCGGAGATCTGTGATGACCTTGCTGCTCGCCCCTTCATCTGGAGAACCGCCCAGCCGAAAATACCTGCGCTGCCACTTCATCTGGGGGTGCGGAGGTGAAGAAATGCTGCCCTCCCCTACATCTGGAGAGCACATATCCGCGTCGCCCCCCCTACATCCGGGGGCGCGCCGGCGAAGAACTGCTGCCCTCCCCTACATCTGGAGAGCTTGGACTCGCGTCGCCCCCATTGCATCTGGGAACGTGCCAGTTACGAAACTACTGCCCCACGTCTGGGGTGCGTCTGCTGTCGCTGCCTCCCCTACATCTGGGGGCGCGTACAGATGCCCCTCCCTTTTTTCTGAAGATGACACCTTTTAGATATTTGCGCTACCCCCCCTACATCTGGGGGTGCGTGTTAGTACCCTCCCCGCCCCCCTCCTCCGGTGTTTGCCATCGGGGTTGGGTTTTAGTCGCTTGGCAACGACGTTGTAAAACAGCCGCCCCNTATTTGCGCTACCCCCCCTACATCTGGGGGTGCGTGTTAGTACCCTCCCCGCCCCCCTCCTCCGGTGTTTGCCATCGGGGTTGGGTTTTAGTCGCTTGGCAACGACGTTGTAAAACAGCCGCCCCCCCTTAAAATGGTCAAGCACCCTCGAGGCAGTTACACAGTGCTTACAACTGTCTCAGGAAGTGAAAGCACCAGAAAGTAAATTAAGTCATACGCAGCTGTCATTCGTACGCAAGGAAGTAAGCACAAGAT